GGACTTCATGATGGCTGCCAATCTTACTGGAGTGAGATGGTATCTTAGGGTGGTTTTGATTTGCATTTCTCTGACTGCTAGCGATGGTGAGCATTTTTTCATGTACTTATTGATTGATTGTATGTCCTCCTCTGAGAAGTGTATAAAGAAAGACATGTGCCTAGTCAGAAGATAGACTGTTGGCTGTTATTGCTCCTGCTCTCCCTGAGTGCACGCCCTTTGGACTTAATTCATTCTTCAGGATCTTCAAATCTGCCTTGAGAACCAGAGCTGGACCCATTTCTGTTCTCTTGTCTGGGGTCACAGTCTCAATCTGCACCTTCTTCCAGGGAAGAACAGATGCATGTGCATGAAGATCCGCCCATCAGAGATGCCACCCAGGTGAGCCTGAGGACCCAGCAGACACTGCAGGAGAGGACTGAAGAGAATGAAGGCAGGAGCTTTCACCTGAGGTTCCTTGAGAGCCCAACTAGCCTGGCCTGCAGCCAAGAGATGGTGGTGTCCTTTGCTAGTTTAATTAATTTATTAATGGATCTATAAGATACTAAAAGTGTCCCAGAAATCAGAAACACAGGGTCATTTTTGACCATCAACTTATGGTTAGAGAAGCTCAATTAGAAGATGGATGGGAGGTATGAAGGCTCAAATCAAAGTAAATGTAAGTCTGAGCACCTTTACAAGGAAGGGAAATGGATCAACCCAGAGTGAACAGAAGAGGGATGTACACTGGTGGGAGATCCTTTTTAAAAAATTGCAATGGAGCATATTTCAGCCGATTTTTAATATTTGTGAGAAAGATCCAGATTTAGGAATTTTTATAAATAAATATCTCTGCACCAGAAACTCTTAATATATATATATATCACAGAATCTTCTTTCACTCTTGGTATTATCCACATGAAAAATAAATTTACTTAAGTGAAAAATAGGTATGCTAAATAGTTTTATATTACAATTATTTCATAACCTGTCAAGTGAGTGCATTGGAGGGATGCTGAATTCTCTATTTCAGATTTTTAAAACTCTTTCCTTTGAAATGGAGAGTATTCCTTCCCATTTTTCTTTCTTTTTTGTTTTGGCATTTTATTATTTCAAACAGAATAATTCTCACTTATATTGACTGGTTCCTTTTCCATGAGCACAGCACCTAGGTGGAGATGTATCTGTGGGGAGTGTCTGAAAGTCTACAGATTTTAATATATTCAAATAGATGAGTGTTTGTTATTGGGCTCCTACCATGGCTTTTCATTCTGAAGGATCTGACTCAACAATGTGATATTTCTTCTTGTGAATCCCCACTTTATCAAAAATGCCTTTGAAAGATCTTCTGTACTAATTAGACAACTCTTCTACATATTTCCAAATTATTTTCATATCTCTATTATGTCTCTGTGCCTCTTGATTTTCCAATCTTTGATACAGGTGTATTTCCAGAAGCCTAGTCACCTTTGGCCAGCTGATGAAATGTGTTCCTCTTCATCATTTCACTAAAGATCATGTCCATCGTCCACAAGTAAACTTGAATTAATTTTTCTTTCGATAAATCATAACATTATATCTGACTTCCTGATCTTTTATTTCTAAGAATCTAAAAATTTATTTTTATATTGTCTTCCTAGTACCCTGATCTGATCACTATAAAATATATTCATGTATCAAAACATCACAATATACCCAATAAACCTTTTATAGTTATTAGGTGTCTAACAAGAAGATAAAAGTTGTAATTGTGCTGAGACTAAATAAGTGCCCATGATTGCAGGGCTCAGAGCCTCAGAAGGAGAATCCGGGAATATTCACCAGAAGGTGGAAGCAGGACTTGGTCCTTGTACATAATACAGAGTTTCTATTTCTTTGATTTCAACTTTGGTATACAATCCCACTACACCTTTCACTTTATTGCACACTGTGATAACTATGAAATCCAAATCTTTCTCTTGTCATTTTCCAGCTTTCCCCAAATTATTGCCACTTTGGATGAGAAATACTTGAGAATTCACATTTATCCCATAAGATATATTTTTATAAATAATCTCAAATGACATATGTCATGCTAAGAAATTTTTCATTTTGCTTAAAATATGCATTATTACTATTCACATGTGAAAAAAATGCATATAACAACTAAGGTTAATTTTCATAATTTTATTGTGGAAGTGTATCTTAGAAAAGAAATTTTTTGATACCATGGATTGAAACAAAGGCTGTTTAACCACTGAGCCATAGACACAGCCCTTTTTTTTTTTTGTTTGTTTGACAGTGTCTTGATACATTGCTTAGGGCCTTACTACATTGCTGAGGATGGCTTTGATATGTGATCCTCCTGCCTCAGACTCCTGAGTCACTGGGATTTTAAGTGTGCACCATACCTAGATGAGAATAGATATTCAATTTTGTATCTTTGAATTTTTCGTATATTATTTCCAAAATTTCCACTTTTGATAAGGTAGCCTTTAACTTACCAAAGTATTAGCTGGTCATTAGGTTTCATTCTCACATTTAGATAGTGCTTTTATTTCAGTGTGGTGTCCACAGTGCCTAACATAATTGTGGGAAAAACAGGTCATGTCCCCAGAGTATCTACTCCACCATTTTTTTCCCAGGCGCATATTTTTATGTGATAGACAACACTTTTGAAATGCTAGCAATATATAAATGGTGAGCAGATTGATGGTTCTGGGGGGCCAGGCACTGGGCAGGGAGAAAGGTGGATGGGGCTGTACCAGGGCAAAACCTGAAATACTGGACTACTGGGAACTGTTCTGTATGTTATTTTGATGAGCGTAAATAACTGTAACTATTAAGGAGGTTCAGTGTGATATTTCCACACATGCCCACAGTGAACACTCATCCAATATAGCCATCCATTATCCACCCTCTCCAACCTGATGTAATCTCTATATTCAAGTTAGCATTTATTTTATTTTATTTTTATCTTCCTCATTTGAGAGAGACCATGAAGTACTTTTGGTACCTGCCTTATTCACTTAGCACAATGTGCTCCAGTTCCATCCACATTGGCCTAAATGACAGGATTTCATCCCTACATAAGAATAAATGGTGTTCCATGTTGTATATATCCCACATTTTTTTCACTTCACTCCTCTGGTGATGGGTACTTAGACTGACTTCGTATCTGAGCCTGTGTGAATGATGTGGTAAGACATGAGCAGGGAGCTTCTCCTTGTTCCGTGTGTTCATTTCCTTGTTATCAGCACTGATAAGTTGCCTGTGATATTTTGCTCAGTGTTACCATGGTGGCATCTTACTAAAGGTTCTTTGGATTTCTCTCTGTCTTTCTTTTACTACAACATGTTAATCCACAACTTTTTCCAAATGGAAAGTTCCATTAAGAATTATAAATCAAAAGGGAAAGTAGAGTAAGCCATTTGTAAATAGTTTAAATGTTGATGCGTTCTCCTTTCCTCCTGAACTCATGATTGCAGTTCACTTTCTCCCATGGAATTGCAAGCTGTCATTGCTGTCCTGGTGCATCCTAGGCTTCAAATTACCCTCATGTGCTTTCTTCTAATGAGACCTGGTAAATGAAAGACAACACCATCTTGATGACAGTGTGCTGTGGTTTTATGTCAACCCACACACAAATTGTACAAAGACTGTGGTGAATCTGCTTTTTAGGTTGGATATTGAAATAAACAGATTTGGGACAAAAAGAAACGTTGGCATATGACATTTCATTGATCTTGATCTCTGCTACATAGAGATGAGAGAAGACAATACTGATGAATATTTTGTTTAGAATATGCTTTTTACTTAAGTAAACCTCTTCTAATCCCCACTTCTGCACATACATAGGTACCACACACTGTTCTTTACTTGCCAGAATCCTGAGTTCCCCTATTCAGGCAACCTCATTAATAACAAAGCAGTGTCCTTAGCTTCTATCATTCTAGAATTTTGACAATCAGCTACCAGTTCAAAGTCACGTCTTTATGTGGGTCTAAACTATTTGTAATGTCTTTGCATTATGAACTGGTTATGCAAGTCAGCATTCTGTTACTATAACACAACACCTAAGATAATTGATTTATAAGGGGAGAACATTTATTTTGGCTCACATTTTTCAATATTCCAATCTGTTTTTTATTGGCCCTATGGCTTGGCCCTATTGCAATGAGCACATGATGAGGAGTGCCAAGAATGTAGCAGAGGAAATATGCTACCCTCATGACCTGGAAGTGGAAGAGATAGAGGAACACATGGGGTCCTACAATCTCTTACAAGAGTGATTTCCAAGTGAACTAAGACTTCCACTAGACCTTCCTCTTACTATTTCTACCATCTTCCAATAGCACCAAGCTGGGGGCCAAGCTTTAACACAGGGCCTTTGAATGACACTTAAGAATGAAACTGAAACACTGGCCTTGAGGTCTTCCTCAGTTCTGCATGAATTTTATTGTCTAGGATGACCTTGATGTGGCCTTGGTGTCACCCACATGTTTAGCCCCTTTGTCTACACTATGAGGAGCAGGGAGTTGGAGGGGTCAGGTGGATGGTGCCGCAGTGAAGGCCATGGCAGGACTCTCCTAAGCAGCAATGGACACAGCATCAAGGGCCGAGAGCCTGGCCTCCTCCATCCAGCCCTTTGATGACTTCAGCTTTCACAGGTTTTAAAGCCACCCTTCCCTGGGGTCTCCCTTCAGGAGCTACCTGTCCTCAGGACTGTTCCTGAGGTTCCACATTGGATCAGCCTTTTAACGTTCACCAGGAAATCTCAGTTGTGTGAATATAACAGGGCACTTTCCCAGTTATCTACAATAAGGGATTGTCTTTAATTTTAACAAACCAAATCTTGTACCTTTAACACATAACATTACAAGTGATGCTCAGCATGCCTTTTTCCCTGGAAAAAAACAGAGCTGTGTTCTGAGATAACGCAAATGAGACCAACTCTGAAGATTTCCTGACTTTATGTTAGATCCTCTTTCCTTCCCATCATCGTCAGCTCACCGAAGTTTTCAACTCACACACTATGAATTCCTAGAAATTCTGAACCCTATCTCATCTGTGCCTGTAACCGTGATGTCTAGTACAATTCCTGGTCAGGATTTTTTTCTGTGTGAATTTTAGTTGAATAGAATGAAAATTAAGAGATGATTGAAGAGAAAGAAAAGAGAGTCTGAACCTCAAACTACACATGGGAAAATTAACTAAGAGTCTTTGAGGTAGAAAAAAATAAAAATCCAGACCCATAAAGGTAGATCTTGATTATGATAAAATAGAGGGATTGAAATTATCATCCAAAGACATACCTGTACTTCCAAAATTCCTGTGGCAGTCTTCACAGTAGTCAAATGTGGTATATTTATAACTGAGGGCTCTTTATCCTTCA